GAGACAACAATGTTACTACATAGCCACACGTGTTGCGGCCTCGATTAGTCGCAGACGCTGCCGGATCCACGCTAGCGCTGCCGATGTGGGCAAGCCGCCGGCTCCTTCGATACCTTCCCGCCCTAGCCAACTCTCAGCTCAGAAAACTGTTGTTGTTTTTTTACCCCAGTTCATCATTTTAAATTAAGCAGAACATCTGGACAATTTTTCTAGTGATATTCGACAGGAATTATTCATGTTAGAACAAGGACCTACTGTCTACTCGCTTCCTAAAGTTTGGCTTGCGACGCACACACAACGCCGGGCGTGTTTGTTGTCGAATTTCCAGCAGCAAATATCATCAATTCTTTCACAATCAAGAAGACTACTTCAGCAATCAGCTACTAGTATATAATGAAAGCTATATAGTAAAAGACTTCATATGTCGTGTCAACAGGCGATTGGAGTAAAAAACGATTGGTTTGTGCGGAAACATCAGTCCCTTTATGGCTGGTCTGAATGCTCTAGCTCCGCACTGTATACAAACAAACGCTGGAGAACAATCTTCTTTATATTCGGCAATTTTCGAGATTCTTCGGAAACCAATCACAGAGGCTCGGTTATAGTCGGTGCAGATCGTGTTTGTAACGAAGATGGACGAAACTGATTGGAGCCGCCCGACTAGACTAGTCGGCGCCAGCGGCGCCCGGCGGCAACTTCTTCAAAGGGAAACGCCTGTCAATCAAGTACATGTACGTGAAGCCACGCTGTGGGAAAAGTACGCGCCCCCCAAAATGTATCAATAGATTCAGTTTTATTTCTCAAACAAACAGTCACAATATCAAACTTAGCTACTTTTACTATAGAGTCCAAACTGTAGTGGTTTCATCGGCGAAGTACTCTGGTCGCAATTTCGTGCATTTGATTGAGTAAAATTGTTGATGCCGTGGCGTGCCGATGTAACACGTTACGTGTTCGACCGAGTTTGTTTACTGGCCGGCGCAGGTCATTGACCTTCGGCTTGCGTTGTTCCGGCGGCTGAGTGGACTCGAAGAGCAAAATGTCTGGCAGTTTTAGCGTCCGATTTTTGTTTGTATATCATTGAAAATAACGCTAATTTCCACCACTACATAACGAAATTCTTGTGAATAAATGTATAACTCAAAAAGTCTTTTGGGGAAATAAATATTCTTATCCGGATTTTTGGTGTATTTGGTGTTCTTTATTCATGATCGAATGGTGCCGAAGTCAGCGTACCCTGACGCTCATGAGCGATTCGCGATCGCCTAAATATCGCTGAAGAGAACATGTTCAGATCCTGGCGATTATATTTTAGATCGACTACGATAAAACTTCAGGGCTGTCCTCGGCAAAATCAGATGAAATTTCAGTGTCAAGCTTTGCAGGAAATTATCAAATGCCGCCGCTCGCTGACGCACGCACTCGCTCTGTGCGGGTCATTGACCTTCGATTTGCGTTGCTTCCGGAAAATGTCTGGCAGTTTTATCGTCGGACTTTTGCGCTTTTATCCAACAGACCGACCTCGTAGCAATCATTCACTGGCATCCTATGCAACTATCTTTCTTCCAACTAGTTCGGAGTTGTGTGTATGGGAACCGCATCAATCTGAATAATCCATTCTCTTCTGTGATGGCGCTAAACAAACATCGTAGTCCGCAATGTAAACAAACATGGCGACTTGTCGGGTCGCCTCCACCGATCGCTAAATTATAATGATTTCTTGTTGCCGGGTTCCTGCGGCGATTTACACGCTATTTAATGGCAAAACACAGCAATTTGGGATGTTATCTCGTCTAAGCAGGGTGTATTCCGGTAGATTTTAGCCTCCTATATGTGTTTTCCGGTGTTTAACTGTGTTTTCCGGTGTATTCCGGTAAATAGGCAGACCGATTTTTGGCGGGTGACTTTAATTCACGTGTCCATGTATTTTTATGTCGTGCTGTCCTTTTTTATTATAATATAACGGGCGTGGCACTCGCTAATGTGGTTATGTGAAGACAATGAAGGACAGGTGATGTAGAATTCACACCTGGCTTGCATGAATACGGGTTAATTTGCTCAGGGAAACGAACGAAGTCAGACGAGGACAGTCCAGAGCACACAGTGCGCCGAATGACATTACCTAGGCTTGCTCCCACCAAGGACATTATATAGAGGTAAACCTAGTTTATTTCCAGTCCAATGTGATGTAATTGTAATGTTTTAACGTCGCCATAATTTTTTGTAATGCTGAAATCATGCTTTTGTGGTTTTGCCGGTGACTTGAGCCGTGAGACAGTCGCTTTTGACACATGGCGTGGAAAATTTTCACCCACTAGGAAATTCTTTCAATTAGATTCAATTCAAGGCTTGAAGTCACAGAATTTACCTACCGCCTAAGTCGTGCCTGTTGCTCTCTGACCTCTCTGCATTCTGCTTTGAATTAGACATTATGTAGAACCATAGACTATTAAAAAATCTGGATTTTTAACTTCCTTGGTAGAGACAATAGATCACTATAATTAATTGACAATGCATATCATCACTGCATCATGATTTGTATTGGTGTGGGAACACTTCATTATAAGGAAAAATTACATGTCATTCGGCAACTGCTTGTACTACGAGTTTGTAGTACAAAAAAAATCCTTCTTGTCAACATTTAACATGTTTTATACATGTTGACAATGTTGACAAGAAGGATAGAGAGACTGGCTTATTTTTGTCTTTGGCAGTTCAGTCTATGATAGACTATCTATCTTGGCACCTCTGGTGGCTTCTCATGTGAAAGTCCGGCCTTCGTTAATAAATTATGGTTGTGTGTCTATTTATGTCATTGTCATCTTCGAACATGAAGACAGGCATAAACAAATTAATGCTCAGTGTTGTCATAATTCTATACATCTGACAATGATTCCCACAAAAAATCCTAAATGAAATTCAGGCTCATAATTATACATGATGTATTGTTTTCTTTAAACAAATATAACGTTATACTACTTCCTTAAAGCATAAGTAAAGGAAAATGTGAGTTGAGAAACGGAACCTATGTGCATGCAGGTTGAATGTATTTTGTGCAGTGTGACATCTGTCTGTTTCAGTAAAGATGGCTGACAAGGAGGTAGAAGCAGGTCCGGAAGAAGGTAAAAGTGGTCCAAGTCCCAATGAGAGTTCCTTACAATCAGCAGATCTAGATGGAGAGAACTATGAAGGGGAGGGCACATCCAAAAGCTCGACTGGGCAGGAGGTAGGGGCAAGGGGCCAGGAAAGGGTATTGACCAGAACTGCTGAAGAGAAAGAAAAATCACGAAAATCAGACAAGACCCACAAGGGGACAGAAGATGAAACAGTGAACACACCCTACGAGACCAGGATGAGAGTCAAAAGACAAAAGATGATGACAGAAGGAGTAGTGGAAAGCACAGAATCTCCAACTTGCAAGGACCAAGAGTTGATCATAGATGCATCTGAGGAAGAAGAAACCAAGAGTGAGGAGGGCAGTCAAGTTGTAGACACAGCTGACAGGGATGCTCAAGAGCAAGTGACAGATAAAAACACAACAAACAAAGTTGTTGAATGCCAGAGCTCACACGGAAGCGACATAGAAGGAACAGGGTTCAGAGTAAGGGGTGCAGATAAGAAAACAACTGATGATGTTGAATGCCTAAGCTCCCGTGGAACAGATGTAGAAGGAACAGGGTTAAATATGAGACAAGAAAGAGAAGAGACTGCTACAGCTGGCAACAGTGCAGGTCAGAGGAAACAGGATGTGAAAGATGGTGAGGTGGTGACAGAAGAAGTACCGATTAGGATGAGGACAAGGCTAGGTGCAGTAAGACAGGCTGAGGAGACTACAGAAGGGAGCACAACCAGCATGGCAGACGGAAACCGGCAAGTCAGTCAAAAGGGTGAGTTTTGTATATGTGATCAACAAAAATAGCCTTTTGTATGACAAGTTACTTCAGTCAGGTTACTTAAGGCAGTACAATTATCTAAACATACCAGGCTATTTTCCGGCACTTCAACATGTTTGGAAGATCAGCCAAACATTTGGTTTAATTGTACATTATGTAGTCTGTCATGGAACAAAATCCAGCAATTTACTATATTTTAACATTGGTTAATTAAAAGTTTTCTGTTTGTGTGCTCAATACATGTAGCATCCATAGTTCATTATTTGGTGAGTCTGCCTCTTGACCAAAAGGTTGGGGGTTTGAATCCTGTCAGTTGTTGCTCACCTGACATACACGTTACTGAATTAAAGGGTCACAGTCCTCAGAACAGGACATTAAACTGTGGTCCACTGTTCATTGTTCCTGTTGAAAAAAAGCTAGGGGAATTTGAACCTGTATGTGATGTTCGCTTCTCTGTCATGACCAGTGGAAGAATAGCTAACTGAAGATTTAATCTGGTTTGAGATCATCAAAGTTCTTTATAGTTCATGAAGTTATGAAGAACTTTGATATTCATTCACGCACCAACCTGATGAAATTATTCATGGTTTGAGATCAATTTTTCTCCATCCCAAACCCCTGACAGCTGAAGGAGGAGAAGTGAACTCCAGGCCCCCGTGGCGGGACGGCCGGCGTCGTCGCTGCAGAACCAAGTACTCCAGGGAACAGCTGATGGCCATGGAGGAACTGTTCATGAGGAACAGGTGAGACCAGGAAAGGCAGTGTTTACGTCCTTGTGCAGAGGTTTTGTTAATCCAAGAAGGTTCTGTTTTGAGTAGTATTTGTGTGTATGTCCTTCTCTGTGTAATCTTGATCACTTGATCTTCTCCAGGAGAGGCGGGGAGTTTGTAGGTGGGTGGTGGAAATACCGCTTTACTGCTGCAAGCATTTATCGAACCAAAATGGCTTCAAACAGCCAGTCTAAACCCATTTCTTAACACAAATTGGTGTGTTACAACTCAGGTACCCAGACATTGTGGAGCGAGAGGACTTGGCTGAACGGATTGCATTGACAGAGGACAGGATCCAGGTAAGCACAGCCTTGTCAGCAAGAAATTCACAATCATGAACAAAACATGAAATTCACAACTCTAAGATACATGTACTTAAATGTAACAGAAGCCTGGTTGCCAAACCTCCTATTTTAGCTGCTGACTCTATATCGCCCTTTCTTTGGTAACCAGGCTAACTCTACAGAGGTTTGCTGTCTTCAATTTCTTGGTTGTGTTTATGTTTGTTACTGAACGGGATACTTTCAGTGTCATGTTTTCTTCTCAGGTCTGGTTCCAGAACAGAAGATCCCGTTGGCGTGCTCGCGAGAGAAAGTTGCAGAAGCAGCTGAGGGAATGGCAGCCAAGTGTTCCCAGGCTGCTGCTGAACCCAACATCCCCAGCAGCAGCAGTACCACCTCTCAGCCTGCACGCCCCCTACCAGTTCTCATCATTCCTGCAGCTGGGTTTCCCTTGATGCAGCAGTACTTTTCTGCCATGTCTAGTAACGTTACTGATGGTACAAATGCCGCTGCAGGAGTACCCATGGTGCTTCAGTGTACGCCTGCCACCCAATCCCAGCATGCACAGGGGACAGCCCCAAGTACCTCCTCCAACTCCACCACCGAAGCTAGCAATGTTACTACTACATGTACTACTTCATCAACAGCCACAAAACCAAGAAATATTGCACCTAAGTTGGATTCACAAAAGCTGCCATTCCCATACACTATTGGTTTTGCTTACTTTCCCTCGCAAGTTAGCGGGGCTAAGGGACTCACAAACACAGAGAGTCAGACTGTCAGTGCAAGCTTGGTGATACCTGCAAACCAAGGTCAACTGGGAAGTGTTGAAGGTCACAAAGGAGGGGGTCGAGGTCCAACTCTCTCTCCTTTACTGAGAGCTGTGGAGTCTGAGCTCCAAGCTAACAATGTTCCTGTCTCTGTGACCCCTGCCACTCCAAGTAGTGCTGCAAAGAACAATGACTCCTTAAATGAGGCTTGCAGCAGCTCCATGCAGTTGAGAAGCAAAAGAAGTGTAAGGCCAGTTGCTCCAATGCCAACAGAAACTAGAACTACCCAGAGGAGACACTCAACATGTAGGTATCCCCTACCAAGTGAAGATCCACAGGCAGTGGAACAGACTACTGGAGGTGGAACAAGCAGAAAAACTGTGACGTGTCAAAGTGCGACTCCAATGTCTTGCACAGGACATAGGATCGGCATTGCTCGACAGAGGGGGGCGTTTTCCCAAATCGACAGTCGTCCTTGTACCAGCACACACAGGTCTCTTGGTACAGGGTTTACAAGAATAGATCACAGCGGTCGTATCCAGGCCCCCGACTCTCACGACAGTTCCGCGTCACCTGTTCCTTTGCAACCAATCCAGCGGAGGAGGGCTCGGACGTTCTCGGAAGGAAGTGGAGGCTGTGTTCCAACAGGATGTTTCCTGTCAAAACCGTACGCACAATCGAGGAGCGAAGGAGCATTCAACGGTAGCGAGGCAGCAAATAGCAGGTCCCTACTGACAGGTATGAGACCTGTTCCCCTTCCTCGGCTGCAAAGACAAGTGTCATCGTCGTCCTCATGCAGGGTGAAAATGACATCTGACAACCAGGGGGTCATTTTGGAAGATCGCACCCCTGCGGCAGAGATATTTCGTGTTCCGCCCAGGCGTCGAGCCAACAGCCTAACTCAGCCCATCTTCCGACCAGATGCCACACCCACTGTAAAAGCTCGGCCACTCCCTGTGAATTACGGACAGTCGACTGCACGGGGAAATAGAATGCCGCAAGCACTGTTCGAAGACATGCATTCTCCGCCACCAAGAGCAAGGGTGGCATCACTAAGTGATATTCTTCCTCGCACTAGACAGAACAAAGACACATCCATATTCCGAAAAGAGAGACCTGACCACCAACCAGTGGTGCATAGCGCTTCTTCAACGGTCCCTCCAATATCAGACGTGATTTCCCTTGCTTTCAAAACCGTCAACACTCCCGTACAAACTGCTACAACATCTTCAGCCCCGATGACTGGAAATACCACTTCGGGAAGATTCGATGCCAGTCCTGTTGCTGGGAATAAAGACAGTCCAAGACCACTGCTACCAGGGAAGGGAGTTGAAAGTGTCCATGGAGGTGATGCTGATGTAGTTTTTGTGGGAAAAGTCAGTTGCCCAAGCAAGCAAGACAACAAAAACAAAGACAATCCCAATTTCGTGATACTGGAGAACAGTAATGCTTCAGGTTTACTGGTAAATCATGTAGCTGATCTGATGCCTTGCACAGACAGTGTGGAGAAAGGACATGATGGCAACAACAACATGTCCCCACTTCAGCAGATGAAAAATGTTGTTGACAGAATCGACAAGCCTGACGTAGTAACTGTCCATGACACTGTTGGTGAGCAGGTCCATGTGCATCCCTATTCCAATGTCCAACAAGGAGACAATGAGCATGAGA